AGAACTAGGGTTTACTTTCGACTGAAATAGATTCTTGTTTTCCAGACGTTTTACTCTTCAAATTCTTGAAACTTGTCATGTTATTCAATAAAACATCTTCCTAAAACCCACTAAAAAATATTTAATCATTTAAATCCAATTATCATTTTTGGACTAAACAGATGGTGGTTACAAACTTGTAATGTGAGTCAGACCATTACCGGACTATTAAACCAGATCTGCGGTTGAGCTGGTTCGAGAACCTCCTCCTTTCCCATTGACACCAAAGATATCTTATGATGATCAGCATAGAACAAGATTCTTCCTTAACGACCAAATTCCTTCATGGTTTTACTGGTGGAGGCTATGAGCTTTGCTTAGCTAAATGGTACTACACTTTGGTTATCTATGTCTTTGCCTTAGTCTTGGCTTTATGCAATACTGATGGAGCTGGGCTCACGGTTTGTTCACTAGCCAACCTATGAAAAACGTGCCATGTTTACAATCAGAGCATGGGCTGGTTTAGATCATGGAGGTCTTCTTGCACATAGTAACGACAGCTTCAGACCTGACACAAGATTTCAAGACAGGTTACCTAGTATTGTCAACTCCAAGGGCTATGTTTGTGAGCCAAGTGATTGGAACAGCAGTGAGAGGTTTGGTTTCGCCCTGTGTGTTTTGGCTTTTCTACAAATTTTTTACTGTTTTTCTAAATTTCGGCCTGGTTTGGAATTCAACTGCGATCTTTGTATATTGTTACAAGTTCTTTCTACATCTTTGTTTCTTAACTTCCTTTTGAGGTTTCATTCTTCAGGGTTAATAGATCTCAAAAACCAAAGGCTGATAACCTTAACTTTCCCTTCACTACCAATAGGATAAGTTGGAGCTCTACCTGGTCGAGTCCAGGTTAAGCGTTTCGACCATACTCTTCTACGAACTTAAAATGCGTCGAAGCATGAGTTAGCTGTTTATGTATGCCTAATGGAGGTTTAACGATATGATTAACATGCTGAGGATGAGTTTAGTTAGCCGCGGTACCACGAGCTTCGTGTCATGGATAAGTTGTGGCGTTCTCTTTGTGGAGTACAGCTATAAGCTGTAGCCTTGATATTGTAATCATTTTATGAACTTCAATTTTGTATGTGTAGCTTGATTTTCTTTTGTAAGTAATTAAATGTCAGCTTCAAGATTTAACTCCTCTCATCATGTAGATAAATCAACATGAGTTATGTGATTATTAATAAAATACACCAAAACTTAACTATCTCGAGGCTAACACAAATGCTCTCTATTCATCTCACATGTTTGATCAGCATCCCATATATACTCTTGGATGGTAAAAAGATAACAAATTTTGAGTTTAATAATTGCAAATTGATATACAATTTATATGTTATATATTATAGTTATGATGGATTATATATTAAAAACAAAATAGATTTTGAGCAATGCACCCATACAAATGTTTATTTTATCTTTATTTAAATATATATTTGTTGTAAATAGACAATACTATATTATTACTTTGTATTAAATATTATTTTTTTATAAAAATAATATAATATTCCATATATTTATCAAAAATATGTTGCTATTTATTTTTCATATCACTATTATATATCATATAAATGTCATCATATAACTAATTGTATTTTATACATTCCATCATATAATAATTATATAATTAATAGTATTTTATACGTACTATCAGAAAATAATCATATATATTATATTTTGAAAACATAATGTGAAATATAAAAACCATAATTTAAACAGTGTTTGAAATTGGATAATAAGCACATCATTCTTCGGCCTTAAAAGACAATCTGCAGCGCTAAGACCTATAAAGATGGGGTAATTGGTGAAATAGCCATGTATGGCATATAAATTAGGAAACTAGACATGATTTTGACATAATTTAATGTCAGGTATTTTGCATTGTTTCTAACCGGTTATACCTTTGAAAGGAAGGAGGTTACAGGTTCATATTATAAAGTAAACGACGTGTTCCTTTTCTATGGTATAATAGTAATCAAAAAACTATTCTAACGCGTGGAAGAAATTTATTCAACACATATGATGTAAAGGGATTAATCAAAAGCAGTGAATAATATTTGCAAGTATATCAGAAACTATGACAAACTAACGGCGACTGGAGGAAGATCATGAATGTCTATCCTATTCTACGGCTACTTATTTCTATACTACATACTCTACATAAAATAGTATAACTATTTCAACAGTGCAAATGTTCATGTTGCAAGGAAACACGGTAATGCTTTAATGTAATCACTAACCCCTACTTGTTAATAGTAAACCAACAAAGATTCATGAAATCTTAAGGTAAAGAAGATGCCACTATACCGTTTTATTATCCCTAGAATTGCGAAAAAGTTTAATTTCCATGTAACAAATCATATTAGGACAACTCTAGAGAGTCTATTCTATTTAGTCTAGATCTATTCCATATGGTTATATAGAAAAGCATAAATACAAAGACGGTGACGTGTGCGCTTGGGAAAAGACAATGACGTAGTCCATGGAATAAATGTTCAATAGTGAATTACAACTATTCCATTTTAAAGAGTAAGAGGAAGTCATGTAAATAGGTGGAGTAAGTAAAGATAAGGACTTGAGTAAAAGCTTGAATGGGGAAATGCTGACTTTTTTTTGCTAAATACACACATATATGCGGAGATCACATATATGGATGTATTTTTATGTATATAGTAAGTCGTATATGACCCATGTAATGGCAGACAATATGTTTGTGGTATGGAACACCCGCTGACCATTTAATTTTGATAATTTAAATGTTGCCAATGTTAGCCTACTCATAAAATATGTGCACTACTACATACTATAAATCAAATAGTACATTAGATGGTTTATGCCATGTAATACATACTATGTTATTTCTAATAAGTTACCCCTAAACCCACCAGAACCACTAAACACTAAACCCTAATCTCTAATAAGTTAACCCTAAACCAAAATATAAACCATAAACGCAAATATAAACCCTAAACCCACATATAAACTCTACATCACATGGAATGGAACAAAACACAACTCAAGGGACGATGAGATACGATATTTTCATGTCTGATCCATTTCACATAGAATAGAATGACTCCATCTACTACTATTCCATTCCCAATGGCAGGCACGAACGCTACATCACATGGAATAGAAAAAATATATAACATAGTACTTAGTAGTTAAATTATCAAATATTTGTGATTGCATTTATTAACCTACATCAATTGAAAGACATAGTTTTCTGAAATTAAACTAAGCTTCCCGCAAATGTTATACAAATAGTATGTGAGAAAACACTTAAAACATTATAAACACTAAACAAAAATTAAGAAAATATAAACCTAAAGCAAGTGACGACAACAATGTTGATGAATTAAACCCATCCGCCAGCATACCAGAGACTTATATTTACCTACCTCGGAGACATGGCAGCTGCCAATAGAAATGATGGCAGTCTCTCACGTACTATGCTACTATAACAAATTGGTTTCCCTACAAATAGCCACCAGAGATGGAATTCCTTCTCAGTAATCAGCTGCCGTGTCAGAATATAATGAAAAAACATAACCGAGAAGGTATGGGTCCCCATCTGCATGACTTGGCTAAACTGACACGCATTCAACATAGCCAGATCGTCTTCCTCTAATGCAAGCTTTATGACCTCAATATACCAGAGGTCGAAGTAGTTGTTAACTCTTTTTCTCCCAGTGGGTTCGAACCCTGTCTCAAACATTCTACTTGGAAGCTCTAACTCGTCTATGACAAACCTGAAACCAGGAAAATAAAAAGAGAAAGAATGGAAACATATATGTTATAAATATATAACAAGTATGGATAATAATGAAAATACATAAGATATAAATCTACAATTCAATTTAAAGTAGAAAGTGTGAACTTATATAAAATTTCATTCTATGTCACATGGAATAGATCAATCACAAAATCATACTATATACATAGAATGAGACACTAGGTATTCGAAAGCTATTCTATTACACCTCACATGGAATAGATCGATAATAAAAACATACTATATACATAAAACGAGACACCTAGGTTTCGAAGGTTATTCTATTACACTTCAAATAACCACAAAACTTCTCTTATATTTAATTCTATTCCACTTCCTATGAAATCTATTCGACTTCATATGAAAGTGATTTTTGAATCACCAGACTATATACATACAGAGAGACAAAACTGTAAATCAAACGCTATTCCACACAATAATCACTTGGAACCCCAATCAAACTTAAGAAAAATTAGAATTCAAAAGCAATAAGAATATAATACATAAGTAGGAATCCCAATCAAGTATAAATTCAATTTGTTTCGGCCAATAATCGCCTCAGATCTGACTTGCAAAGTCGATATGGTGGTGGATTTTACAATTACAGTACCCTAGCTTAGAGTATAAACGAGACATAGAAAAGAAAATAATATAAGATGAAGGGAGGAGAGCAGAGAACATACAGTCATTGAGATGCGACGGAGTAGCAGCGAACTTAACGAAGCCACTGAGACTCGACGGAGTAGCTGCAGACTTAATGAAGCTACTGAGATGGGACGGAGTAGCGGCGGAGGACGGTGTAGATGGAAAAGCTGAAGAGTTACAGTTTTACTTTCCACAAGTTGAATTAAAAAAAAATTTATTCAACAGGTTTATCCGGTTGAAAAAAGGGCAAAACAGTATTAAAATATAATGTTAACAGCGTCTATACATCTGTTAGGTTAAATAGCTATCGGGCATATTACCGTTTTTTGTATGTCCATATAGCCCAATTTTCCTATAAAGATCAACTTTGCCAAAAAGTATTTTTTTTTTTGCAAGGTACACGAGCTCTAAAAATCAAACTGTTAAAACTACTAAAGACTATTTGTTTGCACTAAAATATTACAGATGATCATTTTATCCAAACGACCATGTGTTTCTTCAAGCAACAAAAAAATACTGATGGGATCTTAAATGTTTTTTACTTTCAGTTTCTGGGAACTTTAGGCATCGGATGTTCTTCAGTGTCATCATATAAGAATCTCTTGCAGCGCTTCAAGAACGGGTCTAGAGTTTGCTGCTTCGAGGGGCTGTTTCTTGGTTTTATTGGACTGTTCATCACGTGACTAGATGAAACCTCCAGAGCATTCTCTTGTCCATCAAGCATCTGTGTTGCAAATCGTTCACAAAGTAAAATATTAGTCAACGGCATGCTGCAGATAAATCATAATAATCGTTATGTATATATATCACACCAAGAGATTTTCTCTCCGGGTGAGTTGACATAGAGAACGAGAATACCTGTCCCAGATTCTCCAGCTTGCTCTGAACGACATCCCTGTACAAAGAGTGAGCAAGTTCAGCGAACAAACAAAAAAATAAGATATATCATGGAATCTTGAACTACAAATGTGAATGAGAAACCAGATGATGTCGTCAACAGTGTCATTTGCTAGAAGGTAGTGTATGTTAACTGAAGAGACCTGCAGTAAATGAAGCAAAAGCCATAGGAAGGGTTTAAAAATGACGCTTGCAAACGATCAGTGAGATATATGGGTGTGACTGCGACTCCACTAAACTATTGTTCATGACTCACTTGACCAATCCTATGTGCACGATCTTCTGCCTGTATCAGGTCACCTGGAGTCCATGCCAACTCCGCAAAGATAACAGTGCTTGCTGCTGTCAAAGTTATCCCAACACCAGCAGCTCGTATTGACAGCTGCAACGACCAACAAAATATTAGGGATTATAATCTTTACTACAGATTTAAAGGAGTAGGACTTATAATACAATCAAAGTATTCATCAAAAAAAGTAAGAAGATTCAATTATTTACATGTGGTTCTCTCTGCTTTTAAAGGATGGTTTTGCTATTAAATTGTTCAAAACAACCATCAAATGAATATTATATAGTTTCAGAGAATCAACCATGATGTATCTCAGGATAGTCAGCTCTGTCCACAAAAGGCACACATTATCCAGAAATGGTAGGACAAATTATAGTACCTACTACAGTTGCATGGTGAGAGATGGTAGGACACTCTGTTTAACAAATGGTGAAATTACTTACCACTGCTGCTTTTATCTCATCGTTTCCCTGAAAATCTGAAACCAAGGCTTGTCTAGAGGAGGCAGGGGTGTTTCCATCAATCCTGATGCAACCCACTTTCTTTTTCTGCATTTTTTGTAATTCTTATGAGAAACAGTGGGCCATTTGGGAAAGCTTTGCTGCGAGTCAATGCCTTACTTTTAGAAACTGGTGTAATGCTTGAAGCATGGACTGATGATGTGCAAATACTAAAAATTTGCAGCCAGCCTGCATCACAATGCTCAAAGAGAAAGGATAAGAACAGATGTCAGAAATGTATGAGAAATTTTCGAAACAGCTTATTTGGTAATATAGGCGCTATTACCTCAAGCACAGTTCCCAGATAATCAATCACTGCTGGGATTTTCGCTTCAGCGGAATCAGTGTAGATCTATAACATAAATGAGATGTTAACGACACTAGAAAACAACAGCTAAAAGTACACCCAGCTGAATCAAGCAGTAGGCCGATTGTTGTTACGATATTCAGAGGATGTGAAGAAACAATCTGGAAAAAGCAAAGCAATACCTTATTGATAAGCTGCTTCTCTGTAAATTTCAGAGATTTGATGTCATCTTCCGACATGCAATCCTTAATTTTTTCCTTTACAACCTTTAACTGTAAAAGACAAACAAAGACCATTCTTTTTCTCAAAATCAGTTCCTTCAAGGAGTGTAAAATGCATAGATAGTGAAAACTACACCAAGTTACCTCACGAAACAAAGCATTGATTTGCTTCATATCCTTCTCCGCTAAATCTAAGAACACCTATTTATACAAAGATATAAATAAGAACATGAGAATAGATCAATAGCAAGCAGTAAAAGATCACATTAGATTAGATTCATGGACATAGGAGAAAGAGCTAGTACTAATAACCTGCTGCCTTCGTTTCGGCGGAAGTTCAGACAAGACATCCTTTTTAAGTCTTCGAATCATTACTGTTGCCTTCATCAAATTGTGCAACTCTTCATGATTGCTTGCCCCTTGATATGTTCCGAAAAACCCCTGAAATTAAATTGAAAAATATAAAATTTATGATGCACAGTGACTACCCTACATGAAACCCTGGGCAGTATCTCAATAGAGCAATGAACTTACGCCTTTGCAGTATCTGCTACCATATTCATGAACATTTTTATATACATCTGGGTATAGAGCTTCCAGCTGACAAGAGATAAAGAATGAAGGGTTTTGTTAGTTAATTCAAATCACATCAAAAATCCAAAGCCTAATAAATCCAAAAGAATGCGACCTTATTAAAATGGATAGATAACCTGTTTGAATAGCTCTATTGGTCTAGATAAAGCAGGAGTTCCACTCAGTAGAATTGCATATTGAGCTTTCTGAAATTAGAGAAAATAAAAAATCACTAGAATATTAACAATGCAGCAAAAGTTTTACAATAGCACCAAAAGGAAACTGATTCTTTAATCTGTCGGCAGAACCTAAAACGTTGAGTGGATGATGTATCAATATTACCTTTATGACCGGAAGGGAAGCAGTTGTCCTCTTTGCTTGAGCGTTTTTAAGAAAATGCGATTCGTCTGCTATGACAACCTGAAAAGAAGTATAAGTTCATGGTGAAACCCCAAACACATGAGACGAAAACCAAAAAACCTTATTTGCAAGATATGGAACGCAGAATCCATAAATGCCTCCCTCCCCTCCACTCAAAATATATAAAAAAAACAAACTCTCTCACGTGCATGATTAGTAACCAAAGTGATCACTATAAATAAAGATGTCCGGAAGACCGGAACAATCAACCAGAAGTTACTAATACTATGAGCAATATCTATTTAATCACCTTAAAATCCAACGCCATCAAGAGTTTGTCAAGTTTGGTGACCACATCATAAGAGATAATGTTGAAGACACCATCAAGATGGATTGTGCCCTTTGTATTTGAAGAAACTATAGTAAATCCGCACTTGTTTGATCCACCTGGTTGCGGTAAAACTACCTACTAAAGGATGACTTAGATGAGAAAGAAAGAAAAATATAAAGAATAGCTATATCCAAGCTACTAAACATTATAGAAACATTAAACTACATACAACTATGTCTGACGGAGGTACATGCAGCCACTGGTGAATCATCTGCAAGAAAGCAACAAAGTGAATCATGTTAAGTAACATACATAACGTCAAATAAAATTCAAACAAAGATCATGAGCTTACTGCTGCCCAATGTAAACGTAAGGAAGATGGTGCAATAATCAAAACTGGCCAAGATTCTTCAACGCATGTAGTCACGGCAATAGCCTGCACAGACAATGGGCATCAAAATTGATTTAAATAGTTTACAAGCAGGGTGAACCACAAAAAGATTCTCCAGAATTAGTTTCTTCATGATTTGCAAGGAGACATACTTATGAGGAGAAATTTATGATAAATGTGTCCTAAAGTCAAGGATATCTACTTAACAATTGACAATAGAAATCTTCTCCTAGGAATGAGAGTAAGACTCTTCTAAAGACATGGAAGGAAATATTGAATAATATGAGACAGAAAACCACTTGCCTGCAGAGTCTTTCCAAGACCCATTTCATCTGCTAGGAGTACACGCCCTCCGTGCTGCAATATAAACCTTACCAGAAAGGACGAAACAGACCATGAGGCAAAGGAAACAAGAAAGCCAGAGAGAACCACAAATCAGGCAGCCAAACGGTCAGTAAAGTACTAATGAAGTGATACTAGTGAAGAACAACAGCTAATAAATAAGACTAATATAGCTGACATACTCTATGCCATCCCGCTGAAACGGAAGAAGCTTTGGCTCAATGTGTCTTGGTATCTTGTCATACAGATCTAGGGAATTAGAAAAGAGAAAAGTAAGACACAAAAAGGGTCCAAAACACAAATATATTCTTCAGTGAAGATAACATCATTGTTGTCTGAAGTAATAAAACATAAACACACAAAATTCAAGGTTATGGATGTTTGACTTACGCCTTAGATCTGGAACTCTGGAGGCAGAAGCTATTGCACGTTGGACAAGAGGATCTAAGTTCTCTACCTGACATTTCAGAAGAAAAAATATAAAGCAATGTAGCTAAGAGACGATATACCTCTAGTTTAAGCTGAACTTTCAGGCTTACCTCAACTTTAACGCTGGAAACTTCTCGTAGAATTTTTTCTGCTGATGACAATGAAGATTGAGGAAAGATCCATAACCTATAATTTTGCACAAGAGAATAAACAAGGCATTACATGCTAAGGACCATTAAAAACGATTGAAACAAGAAAGCCAGAGAGAACCACATATCAAAAAATGAAACCGTGCATAAGAAAGATTCCTACCTTTCTTTAGCATTCCAAACAGCCTTAGGGATTTTACGCACAGCATCCACCACCACCTGGATGATAATAAACATAAAGTAAGTCTCAGAAACAAAACACAAACCATTTTCCACATGAAGACTTGTTCTAACGAATTACCTGGTTATAGGGGAACTTTGCAGCAAGATCTCCACTATGATGCAGCAAAATCTTCACATGGACCTTTAGCTCAGGTTCCTTAAAGTCCTCACCTTTTGGCGCAGAGGCTAGCCTCACAACGAATATGCAGAGAGATAAGGCGCAAATAAGTAAGCAAAAGAAACATCGTGTCAGTAAGCAGAGACAACAGATAATTGCTACTGGAGAATTCAACTAACCAGTGTTTGGTTTAGGGGCGAGAGATGAAGGTAAGACCCTGGTCCCTTGAAACGAATTAGGGACCTGAGCAAAAGAAAAACTCAGATTAGGGCTGCAACAAGATTACAATTAAGACGAACCTATTACAACCCAAAGTAAGGACCATAGAGAAATGAAATTGAGAAAGTGAAAACCTTATTAAGACATCGCAAGGAAGAAGAGTGATTTCGCTCCTGGTTGATTCTCTCTAGAGCTTCTTTTTCGAGAGCATCCATTTCTTCCATGGTCAAATCAAAGTCATCGTCATCCATTTTCGATCCCACCCTCACACTTCTTCGTCTTTCTCAGTGATAACTGGATCGGGGAAACGGATCTGGGGTTTAATGGCGGATTCACTTCTCGAATATCTTCTTTCCCTCGTCCCTCTCCGTGTTGGCCTTTTTTTAAAATGTTTCTAGAAGGGGGAAGAAATTCGGACTCTAAGACCATCCGCATAGCGGTTTTACACCGGATATTGGGCTGGGTATCATAGGCCCGTGTCCATTAATTTTAATAAAAAAGGGTTTATATCGGTGAATCGGGCCTTGCGGATGAACCCGTAAGAAGAGAGTTCAAGCCGCGCGGCAATGTCTGATTGGTGAAGAGAATCCGCGTTGTAGAGGGAGAAATTCTCAATTCTTCCATCAATAAAATATAATAATATTTTTAGTATTTTTAAATACAAAACGTGGTAATTACATTTAAAATCCGAACAAAATCAGATAATTATATAACCCAACCTTTTAAATCCGACCCACCCAAACACATATGGGTATAACTCAATTCCTAATCTAAATGCTATGTTTTGATAGACTATCTCTCATCACTCATCCTCATGTTCTTCTCTCCATTTTTTTTTTTCTCCAGAAACCCTAGATCGAAAAAACCATTGTTTCTTCTTCTTCATCTATTCTAATCAAGATTCTTCCTTCCAAATCGTTATCCTTCATCTTGTAAGAAATTTCTTGAACTTGATTTCGTTTTATTTTGTATTAATTAAGGGAGATTGTGGTTTGAAATTGGGGAAAACATGTTGAAATTATGATTTGGTATTAAATCCGTAGATTTGGTATTAAATCGGTATAAATTGGAACGAAAACCAAAAATTCATGATTGTTGTGGGTTCTTTCTGACTGGATCCAATTGGTTTTCCTAATTTATTGTTTGTGATATGAAACCAAAATCTCTTTGAATGTTAGGATAAATGTAACTGAAATGGAGTTGTGATTTATTGAGTGAATGAATGGTTTAAGAATTATTGATAAATAATTCTGGGTTATGTCTAAATGTGTGTTGTTGTGTTGTTTTTGGAAGTTCAGAGGAAGGAGATAATGGCAGGTAACCGTGAAGGAAAAAAAGACTAAAAAGAATGATAAAAAAGCCACAACAGCTCGAGAACTTGTTGATCCGATTGTTGAAGAATCAGAAAGGAAAAACAGTGATGATGTGTTTGAAGTCCTCTCTGAGGTATAATATTTTTTTGGTTTTAGTTGAATAAAGAGTCACTGCTTGTGTGTGTATTGGTTTTATTTGATAACCATGTTTAAAGAATAACTTTCCTATAAATTCGTAAGTACTATTTTTTGTCGTGATTACTCATCTTATACAGGGAATGAAGGGCCAAAAAAGAAGGCATTCATCTATTATATGTGGTGTGTCCAGTAGAACTAGAGCTAGAAAGGCGCTCTCAGATGGGAATGAGCCGATAGGAAAAGAGTCAGTCCAGCGAGATAATACTCTAGTGAGAGAAACAACTGTAGATTCTCTCTCAATTGATGCTGAAAGTGAAGACATGTCTGCTGTATCATCCAAGATAATTTTTGCATTCATTTTAATCATTGTTAGAAAGTCATATTAGTCTTACTAGTTAGGAATTACTAATACATATATATACATTGATTGCAGGAAAGGCAACCACCGCAGCCTCTTGAGTTTTACTTCAAGAGCACACAGTTCACGAAGACTTCCAAGATTCAAACTAAATGTTTGGTGAAGAAGACAGCTGATGTGATTAAAAAGCTTAAGGAGGAGGTTAAATGGTTCAGAAGCCATCCCCAGTTTTGTCATTTCTTCCACATGCCCGATGAAGAAGACCTGAAGCTCCAAGCAATGTGGATGTTACTTATGCGCACCATTAATATTGAAGGAGATGATGCTGCATGGTTTGGGGTGAAAGGTGTGTCCATCCGCTATTCAATGAGGGAGCATGCCCTCATCTCTGGCTTAGACTGCCATGAGTGTCTGAAGAAACATTTGAAGCTCGGAAATAGAAAGTTTGTAGATTATTACTTCAGTGGACTCAAGAAAATCACCATAACAGATGTGGAGCAGAAGCTGTTGTCTATGAAGCCGGCATGTGCTGATAGGTTAAAGATGCCTGTCTTGTTCTTCCTTGGTCGGATTATTAGAGGAAAGACAAAGGATAGCGGACCAATTGACCCATTCATCTTAATGGGAGATCTGGATGTTTGCAGAACATTTCCTTGGGGTCGTCTAACATTTGAGGATGCAGTAAAGGAGATTAAGCATATGATGGAGCTTCAAAAGGGTGAAGTGAAGCAGGCAACCGGCTTCCCTGGATTCATAATTCCGTTACAGGTAAAGCATAAATTTAGTAAAATTTTAGTTGTTTTAAAACCGAAAATCTGATACTGTGACAATTTATTTGTGTAGGTTTTGGCTTTTGAGTGTATTCCTAGGCTGGGGAAACGATTTCGACTCCCTGCAGAGAATCCTTGTGGAGATTGTCCTAGGATGTGTAAGAGTCGGTTTACAAAGAGTAGCATGAAGGGTTATCTTTTGGAAGATATATATCGTGCGCTTGGAAAAACAAAGGTATATGTATATAATTTTTGTTAGAAACTAGCATAATAGAAAATTTAAACTGATGTTCATTATTTGTTTCCAGACTATTAACAGTGTGCTGGTGCCAATTGTGGATGAGGAAACTATGCTGGCTCGTATTATTGATGAGGATCCAGAGTATCGTTGTGGGGTTAGCACAACTGATACGTGGAATCACAGGCTAAGAAGCGGAAGAAATTTGTTTGGCAAGAGCTATATGACTGGGATGTTGTTGCACGAAAGTTTACAAAAGAAAAAGACAAAGAAGAGGTGATGTTTGAAGAAGGATCATCTTTTAAGTCTGGTATGGAATTGAGCTTGAAAGGTATGGAAGAAAGGATTCTTGTTTCCATGGGAGAAGGATTTTCTGGAATTAAATTAGTGATGGAGACAAAGCTGGAAAAAATGGACCGGAGGATGAGTGATCTTGAGAAGAACCAATGAGTTTTAAGAAGAACGGCTAAGATAATAAAGAGAGGTTAACTTCTATTGAGAAGAATATTTATGGTGAAAATATAGATTATGGTAGAGCTGAAGGGTATGAACAAGATGATGGTGAAGTAGAGGAAGAGAAAGTTGATGCGGAAGAAGGGACTGATGAGGACGAAAATGATGAGCAAGTTGATGGGGAGAAAGGGACTGAAAGAAGAGCAAAAGAGAAGGAGAACGAGGCTGAGGAAGACAAGGAAAAAAGTGAAAATGATGAGGACAAAAATGATGAGCAAGAGGATGATGATGAAGACGATGAAATCAGGTCTGAAACTGAGCAAGAAGCTGAGAAAAGGAGAGAAGAGGCGTATGCATTCTGGATGAGTATTGAGGACAGTAATGAGGCCAATGATAAAGATGTGGAGAAGAAGAAAGAGACTCAGAAAGGTGAGGAGATTGCTATGGAAGCAGGGGAAAAAACTCCTATATCACCATATGGTAGGTTAATCACTTTATAAGTTTAATTTAGGTTTTATAATTTTTTTGTATGTGATTTAGTAATATATATTTGACCTATTTTATTTATGGGTTTCAGAATACTTAATTTTCGAAGATATCATGCACTAGAAAACTTACCGGAGACTTAATAACAGTTTCCCACTTAAAATTATAAAAAAAAATTAGGTTTCCCGCTTAAAACTAAGGTTCCAAATGGTGACCAAAGGAAGGAGTGGGAATAGTCGGTTCCTTACTATTCCTTACAATTTACACCATTTACAAGGAATATTTGTTACCTATGATTCCTTAACATTCCTTAAGATTTAAGGAATAAAAGACTACAATTATTCCTTGTCAAATTACAAGGGGAATAGATTTTCCTTTTATTTTTTTCCTTTTCATTCCTTTCTTTCTTATTCTTCATATTACTTTGATGGTTACCAGTTAAAGCCTAAAAGTTTTCCAATATATCTTCTAGGAAAAGTCTTCTAATGTATTAGTTCTTAAAATAATTTATAAATTTCATAAAAGATATTTTGATTGGAGAAAAATCATAATCATCCAATTATAGACATTTGTAAGTGATATAAATTTAGACTTAATCAAATTGAATTGTTTTCAACATAGATTAGTAAATGTAAGTTAGTCATGATATTTTTTGTTTAGGGTTTGGTAACTATGTTATAGTATTGTATGTGTTTTTAAGGATTAGATTGTGGAATCTTAACTTTTTTTTTCTAAACTAAATAGGTCAAATATATATAACTAAATCACATACCACCTTCTCAAAATCTCTCAGTAAGTCTTTTAGAATCAAAACTTTGAAAGACTTTCAAAGACCTTGGAAGACCTACTTAAGGTCTTTCAAATGGTCTTATAAATTCTTCTTAAATCTTTCAAAGTCTAATGTTTCCCGTTTAAATTTTAGTAAAATTTTAGATTTCCCGGTTAAACCCTCACTAAAAATATAATAATAACTTTTATTAAACTAAAATTGAAAATTAAAAAAAAAATAAACCATGAACCTTAATTCTCTTAGAAACAAATAAACAATCAAAAGAGAGAAAACCCCTAGTTCTCTCTTCTCACCCTCTCAGACGTCATACAAAGTTTTCTCAGATCACTCTCTCACATGCCTCTCTCTGTCACGCCAGACCGCCTCTCTCCCCCCCCTCCCACCACGCAAGATTTTTAGCTCTCCTACAGGTCTCTCTCGTCGGACGTGTCTCACGTGCCTCTCTCTCTCGCCGGACCTCTCTCGCTGTAATCTATCTCTCTCTCTAGGTTTGATTCTGATTTTTTTTATTCTTGGTGGAAGATGATGGAGAATAAGCTTGACGGAGATTCGTCTCTGATCCCTTAGACCATGGCTCAGTGTAGGGGATGTATTTCATCCTACCCTCAAGGCCTATCAAATAAAATCTACAGCCCGATACTCGGCCCAAGTAGACGAGGAAGGTTTATGCCCGCAAGACGAGGAAGGTTTATGCCCCTCATATCG